AGCTTCTGTAGGAAACCATAAGCAAAACGCTTCTCGATGGAAGAAATCTCCTGCTCCATGTCCTTCAGACCCCTGCACAAAGCACAAGAGAGAGTCAGAAGAGAAATATTAAAAAAGAAACAAAAAGAAAGAGTAAAAATTAAGATAAGTAAGCCAATGCAAAGAAGTGTTATTATAATTAAGGGTCACATTTACCTTTTAAGGCAGACACGAAAACAAGGCTATTTCTATTTTAATTTCTTAAATTAATCTGCTCTTCTCTGTTAATGTATTTTCTCATTGCGTTTATTTGATATTTAAAAAATGTGATCTAAAAAGCCAAAAATGTATAGATTTTTATTTATTTATTTTCATTTACCACCTTTCTGAACAAGAAAACACAGGAATAGAAATATAAATCAGACACCAGTTGGATTTATTGTTACTCTGATTAAACAATAAGAACTGCGCTCTGAATGAGGTTGCACATACACTCAGAAAAATCAATCACAGTGGTTCCAGGAATGAAAAAAGCCTTGTGCAGCTTTTATATAGTGATAGAAAACATGGTAGCATATAGAAAGCACCAACTCTACACACTAATACGTTTAATGCAGCCAACGTGCAGTTGGTGGATGAGGATGGTGTAGCGTATGGGGGACATATCATTGCCCTTTATGTATAGGCTGGAATTTGATGCTACACCCAGGCAAGCACAATATGCCATACCTCTGTAAAATCATTACACTGTAAGTCATTCTGGAAATGCATTAATGTAATGCATGTGCTGTAACTCCTCTGGCAGCAGATTTAAACAAGCTTGTGTCATCACCAAAATCTCAAAATGTTTCGCCAGAAAGACACTCGTTCGATAGGATTAATCACAAATTTCATAACAATTAGTGAGTTTTATACCTGGTGACAGCGTATCCCTCAAACTGGAGGAATTTAAGCAGGTCTTGGGCTTTTTCCCTGTCTCTGGCTTTCTCCTTAGCCGTCAGAGTGTCATAAGGAACAAGCAGAGGATGGGTACCGCCACCTATCACGACACATATAGCATTCAGTAATGAACAGTGCATGTTAACATTTGACCAATATACTTTTTACAACTTCTGTGAATAATCTGTTCTTATTCCGATTCATAGGATGTCTCAAATTATTTATGAGAAATTGAGTTATGAGTGGGCTGCTGCAAACTGACTTGATTTTAACAAGAGTAAAGCTATGAGAAAACAGGAACTAATACATTCTGCACTTGGTGACTTGTGTATGCTAATTGCAAAACATGCTTTGCTGATCTTTCTAATTGCCATGTTGGGCAGCAGAAGATCAGAGTTCAACAGTGTTGGGGGTAATATGTTACAAAAACACATTACAGTAATGTGGTTACCTTTTTTCTGTAACAAAGCAGTGTAACACATTACTGTTCAAATACTACTTTCACTGACTTAATAAGAGGTTCTTTACTTGCTTTCCTCATATGTCCTGACATATTTAATTTCATGGGATGCATTTATGCACATCTGTTCTTGTACATAATTTGTGCTATGGAAGATTTTGATTCGAAACTTTTTTTCTATATGTATGAACATTCATATTCCCATACAAAAATTGTGCTCTTGAGTAAAATAGAAATACTCTTGGTAAAATATTACTTGAGTAAAAGCAGACGTTTCTACTTGAGTAGAGTACAAAAATGACTTTGTGTAAAACTACTTAAGTATCAAAAATAAATGTCTGTGACTTATTAATGATATTATTTTGATTAACTTTTATATTAAGAAGAGCTGTGGCAGGAGACATTTTTCCAAGACTTTTCCAGACTTTTTTCCAAGTAATTTTGGGCTTTTTTTTTTGTCCATTCATCATAAAATTTACAAACAATGTAAAGAGCAACAGGCTTTTTTAAATTATGTCAAAAACTGAGAAAAAATGGAGATATGAGGTTTTCTTCCAACAGCAGCGATATGTAGTTAGCCTTCACTTTACAGGTGAAGGCAAAACGTTCTTCACTTTTAATGTAAGTCAGTGTGAAGAGATTTTATTTCAAGTCATTTTGGAGCATTTCTATTGATCCATCCATCATGACATTTTTAGCTGATGTAAAGGACCATGTTCAAATGATGCAGAAAACTAAAAATTGACAAAATTGGAGATACATGTTTTTCTTTGGACAGCAACGAAATGATAGAGGTAGAATAAATGTTAAGTAGTGCTGTAATTTGTTAAATTAACAGAATTTAGGCATCACCTTTGGCTTGAAGCTCCATCTTCTTCTTCCGGCCCCAGGTGTTGTGGTAATTCTCAGCCAGTTGCTCTGCCATTGACTAGAGATGAAAACATGTAAGAATCAAAAGGGGGAAGTTACAGTAAAGCATAAAACTACTCGAATAAATATTCAACATATATTCCATCTCATACCATACCTGCAATTCTCTGGACAGAGCCATGGTAGTTAGGTCCACTGGCTGGGGAGAGTATCCTTGACTGGGATCATATGTAGCCTTTGGGGAAACAGAGATACGCAATTTTGGGTTTAGGTTCAAACAATATATTTGAAGCCCCATGTTGCTTCCTCACTCTCTGGGTCTATCCTTTTCATCCCAGTATTACCTGAGCAGTTTGGGAGATTTTCCTGGTGGCAGTGGTAGCAGCCTTCTCTACCTTCTCTCCTTCATCTCGGGCCTTCTCTATAGTCCACTCCCAAGCCAGCATTGCCTTAACAGACTCTTTAATGGGCCAGCGATAGATCTCTTTATCCTGAGGGACAGAGGAGGGCAGCTTTTTTAATATAAAACAAGTCATCAATCAAGTCACTAGACCTTGCTAACTGCAGTATCTGAGTAGTGATGAGCTTAATGTATGTATGTTCAGACCTTCTCAGAAAATGTCTTGTATGGCCGAAGCATGGGATGTGTCTTGGCATTCTCATCCAGCGTTTCTCCGTATGTCCAATTGTTCTGGATCTAAAAGAAAATGGTTTTGAATGAAATACCACTAAAACTTTCCTAATTATCAGAAATATTTTGGAAAATAATTGATGTTTGTGAGAGAAGTTTAGACTAACCTTCTCAAAAGCCCACTTATCGTGAGTGTGTTCTGCATATTTGTTAATGAAGGCATCCAGTTTCTCTGGGATGATGGTGCTGTGAAAAGCCAAGCAGTTAGTTTATGAATCCTACTCTTTTTATCCTGGAAAGCTTCTTAAGTTCCTTCCCACATGTTCACACAATGAAGTTAACAGAGTTGCTTCTCCATGCCAGTACTCACTTGGTGGTCTCCACAGGTCTGGGATCAAAGTTGCCCTCAGCATCAACAGTGGCTTTCTTCTCTGTCACAGAATAACTCGCATCTACATAGTCTGGAGGGATGGCACCGGCAATGGCACAGATGCATGGCATAGCGATTTTGAACAGCTCTGCATCAAATTTCTGTGAAGAGAAGAATATGTTATATCTGAGACCTATAGGTCTGTAGATATGTAGAGTATGTGCACCTATACCTGTGATAAAATTACTGCACATATGGTCTCAAGTGGCTTACTGGTTTTAGAAAACAGTGACAACATAAAATGTGAATTAATACACACGTTTTCAATAAAATATTTAAGTTATAACCAGAAGGGGAATGTTTTTAAACTAACTTTAAGTGGGCTTAACAAACCCATTCCTGTACTCCTAGGTGGTTGCTAAGGTATTGCTAGGCCACTGCTATGGTATCACCAGGTGGTTGCTAAAGTGTTGCTCAGCCATTGCTATAAAAACTGAGGCATTTGCTAAGGTGTTGCTGGGCTGTTGCTATGGTATTTAGGAGGTTGTTAAGGTATTGCTGGATCGTATGGTATCCCATAGTTGCTAGTATGTAAGTCAGGCTGTATGAAATGTCTATGAAAGTTAGTGTGAGAAATATCTTTTGTGACATTTTTGGCAGTTAGATTTGAAGTTTCTCAACATTTCACCGTTCATTTTTTACAGCAAAAAAAGTGTTTAATCAATACAGTACGGAAACCATGCCATCAGTCCCAAAAACACAAGTGCATTATTCCCATATGGGCTCTACCATCCTGCAAAATTTCATGGTTCTACCTTAAAACTGTGACCTGTGAAAGCGGTACAAAAAAGTGTACAACATTAAAATGAAGATTTTGATGACCAAATTACAACCGCAACAACAATGCTAATTTCCACTAACATCTTAAAGTAATTTCCTGCAACGTGTTAACATCAAAATGTATATGTCTGTCTGTTTGCCCTGCGATGGACTGGGGACCTGTCCAGGGTGTATCCTGCCTTCTGCCCAACGACAGCTGGGATAGGCTCCAGCACCCACCGCGACACAGAAGCGTAAGCGGTTTAGATGATGTGTGTGTGTGTGTGTGTGTGTGTGTGTGTTTGTAAACCTTATAATATGGGGACTTCAGCCAGTAAGCACACCAATAAAGTGGGGACGTGTGTCATCGTGGGGACCAAAAATCGAGTCCCCACAAAGTTAACCATTGTAGCATGTCTATTTCGTTGGGCTGAACCTCCCCCCTTAAAATCTCGGAAGTCCCCAAGATGAACACAATCTCGACAAAAAGTGTGCGAGTGCTTAGGGGGAACTGCTCAAAGTGTGTACACGCCCCCTGTGGCCAAAGACTGTAAAAACAACTGCGGACGCACACTTGATCACGTGGTACAGCAATGCTGAACTCTGATTGGTTGAAACGGGAAGCAATCAGTGGAACTGTGAGCCAATGAGGTATCACCTTGATCAGTGCTGCAGTTTCCCAGTCCGAAGTGACTGTGCCGAGCTAGCCCAGCGCCTGAGAGCTCTGTGAGTGAACTTTCACCATCAGACGGAATGTTTTCAGCGACTACATGTTTAATTAATAAACTGTGCTCGAATATAAACCTTAATAGTGCTGTAAATTTAAGATTTTAGTTTCAGTAGTGCCGTGTTCTCGTTAATTAGCTAGCGCTAGTTAGCTGGCTGTTCTAGCCTGTTAGCTCAGCCCTGACGGGGCATTTAAGGCCTTAACCTGCCTCCCTGTATCAGCCCGTTTATCGAGACAGTTCGCGCTACGATGCCTATGAATGTTTAACGCGTCTTCCGTAGAGAAGCTGGTGAAGTGTTTAAGGGTGAAAGCTTGGTAATGAGGAGGAAGAGCCCGACAAACGACGCTGTTTTCCACATCACCGCCGGCCGCGACAGAGCGGGGCTGGATGTGAAGTACATTGGTTCGTTTAAAGGTGAGCAGAGCAGGTAGATCAGCTTTGACTGAACCTCGACACAGAGAAGGTCGTGTTAGCGCGGTCTGTGGTTGCTGATTAAGGCAGGGGAGTGTTTGCCGTGACGAACTTCGCGAGAGGAGAGTTCGTGCTGGAGTACAGAGGAGACCTGATCAGTGCGGAGGAGAGTCGGAGAAGACAGCGGGTTTATCACAGCGCCGTGAAAGCGTTCCTGTTCGACTTCATCTGGCACGGAAAGCTCTGGACGTGAGTAACTCTTCCCTTCTTCTCTCTCGGCCTGCGGGGTTAAAGGTGGGGAGGTTTCGGCCGCGGCGCTCAGAGCCGCGCTGAGCGGAGATGGGGACGGGAGGCTGGTGTTAGATGGGCTATAAACGCTTTATTACTGCGACTCATTCATATTTAAACCTTTAAAGATCTAACATTCATCTGTGATCAGCGCCGAGGTGTTTGGCAGCGTCGTCGTTTTGTTTACAGACGCGTTGGCCATTTACTGTGATCGACCCCCCCCCCTCCGTTTTTAATCACATCTAATGATGACGTGTGTTTTATCAGAACAGCGACCTGGCTAGCTTTTATAATGCGCCTTATTCAGTCGTGTTGTCTTTTTCGGTAAATGTATAGCAACTTTCCCCTGACGCGATTTTAAAGGGCCACCGCATCAGAACCAGCGAGGTGCTGGTCGTAATTCTAAAGTTATTGGTTAAGATCATGACCTCTTGACCCTCCTGATCCTGAGCCACACGTGGATTTAGTTCGCATCATCTTTAAATTTAGTATAATTTCCGTTATCCAGCTCTGTTTTCCACATTTTCTAATCTGTTTATGTATGGCGTACATATTGTGCTTTGTAGTCTTTCTTTAGTTCACTACTATTTCTATTTAACAAAATGTCATGTTCCTTAACTCAAAATGCATAATCACCCCTGCCTGTAGACGCATATTGAGCACAGTTACTTAAGAGGTAGAAGGAAACTGTGAATAGTCTAACAATGATAATATATTAATATGAGCAAAATGATAATGACACTATTATTAAGTGAAATAACTGAAAATAGTGTATTGTTTGCTTTCATTACATTTTTAAATTTTACAACTATACAACTAAAATATTACTTTTTGTCACTAAATAACTCTTCTGTTTGTTCAAATTCAGCATTGATGCTGCAAGGATGATGGCACACTTGGAAGACTGGTTAATGACGACCACATTAACCCCAACTGTAAAATGAAGAGAATCATTGTGGAGGGAAGGCCACATTTGTGCCTTTTTGCTTTAAGAGACATAACACCTGGAGAGGAGATTACGTATAATTATGGAGATGGTGATTGTCCCTGGAGGAGTGAGGTAAGAATGTTACTTCTTGTACCAGTTGTGGATAATTAAATACCAAATAGTGAATATATTTCTAAGATATCATATCCATAATGTAAATGGAAGCTTGAAATTAAAGGATACTGTTAATTTGAGTTTATGCAGACTATCTAGAGATGATCAGAACAATTCCAATCAGTTACAGTATGGTACTGCTAACATGTTGCATGCTGTTTCCATAACAGGATTTCCCTCTTATTTTTGTGTTTAATAATGACTGTTGTGTCCATTTCAGGTGACAAAAAGTGGGATGGAAGCAGACAACAATCATCTGGAGTCAGAAGGTGCCTCTGGAGATGATCAGCATTGCACCAAGCATTTACAGCACAAATCTGCTTTTGGCGTCCAGGTAAGCAAACTGCTAAAATTCAAGCATGTTCACACAGGTAATGCTAAGTCTGCACAATGTGTAAAGTAGTCAACCAGTATCAGGAGAGTCTGGCTGCAGACATGCGCTCTCAGACAGATGCAGTCTCAGCCCCAATCACGTCATGTGCTCTCTGCCAATGGCTGAAACAGCCCAATGGCACATTAACTTTTGGCTGCTGTTATTTAGCGATATCATCACTTAATCCATTTTTCATCCATAACATGGCTAGAGAGTGACATTTAATGCACCTCCCTGTTGAATAAAAATCATAGAACGCATTAAAAGTGTCTGTTGGTTTCTGGTGGTTTTCAGTAGTGGCTAATGGTATTCTGTGTTTTCTGATGGGTTAATATCACAGTGTGAAGGATTCCGATCGTTTAATCAGGTGTTCTGGGACTGATTCCACATATGTTTGATTATTTCCTAATGGTCTCTAACGGCAACCATCAAGCCAATTCCCATTAGGAAGCCAAACCGTCAGGTTTTATTCCTAACAGCCCTGCAAAACACAATTACACTTTGACAACCTACTGTTTTCAATGCCCACAGCGTCGTCTGCTTGGTGCTCTTTACATTGTCATAACATTGTAATGTAATTTTTCAGAAAGGTATGAACGTTGTCTGACAACTTTCTAGGAGGTTGTGACGACGTTGATGAGACAGCAAAAGTAATCAGTACTATGGTGACTGTACGTTGTCATTAGCTCCTAGAATCCTTAATAAGTTTTAATCAATATTACAGTTTTTGATGACCGGTTCTAATTGTCAGCATGGCTTTCATGAGTTTCAGCAGCAGCCTGTTTGTCTTTTCTGTGAATAAACCCGACATTCATGTCTTATTGCTGTGGTAGGCTTATTTTGAAAGTTTCCATATTTAATTACCTATTATCAGTATGGCAACGTCATTATATATTCAGTGTAACTCCTGCTGCCCAGCAGTACGCGTTTCGCTGTTTTTACTCATAAAACTCACAAAAACACTGTTGTGGCGGAGCGGCACTGACGTCATTAATAGGCTGCTGGTGCATGTCAGGCTGAGAGTGCATGTCTGTTCATATACCTCAGTTATGAAATTTATGCGCTGCTGCTCCATAAACCTGCTTTGCATGTATTAATCCCTTCTGCTTTTTTCATGTGGACTATGCACATCTACCTCATCGCCTTCAACCATGACATCTCTGAGATGCTATTCCTTGATCACACTGTGCATTTGCTAACCTGTTGAGCTTCTCTCATGCAGACTATGCTCGGCTGACCCATCCATCTCATGATGCTGCACCATTTGCTGTTCGTTTTCTAAACCTAACTTCATTTACTCCTTTACCAGGGTTATCTCAGTACTGTTACAAGATGCCTTCTCTGTGCTGTTCATGTCATATATTTCTCGTTTGTATACTATAATGGTCTTTTTCAGATTCTCCTCAGCAGAGCTGTAAAATGCTCTCTTCTCTAACAACTCAACAGTGATACAGATGTGATGCTGTACCTCAGTTACATTGTACGGTTACTTATCCTAATTGAATTTACTCCAGCTACTTCTTTTCTAGTGTCTCATTAATGGTGCTGAGGAATATCTCATCTTGCCGCTTAGAGAAAGTACCAAGCAATCATGTATACCAGCTTTACTCCATGTTTCACTAATGCTATTTTTTTACTCCAGTTTCTTCCATTCTAAGGTGTCTGTGATGCTCCTGCATGCCATCTCATCTCACTCATACCACTCATCAGCTGTAACACTGCAGCTTCACTGTGCTCTGAGTCTGCTAATGCTAATCTCATTTCCTCCAGCTCTTTCCTTAACACTGCTGCACTGAAGTTTTCTTCTTGCTTTTTCTGTGTCACTGTTGCTCTTCCACAGCTCCATTTCACTCAGTGTCACGTCAGTATTACAGATCCATTGTTTACATTCCCTTTTTTGGGACCAGCATCTACAGTAGCAAGCTCTTTCACTGCTGTCTGTTTACTGCTCTTGGGCTGCTGAGCCATTGGCTTTAGACCTCGATTCTGTAAAGCTACCATGCAACATTTTGCAAAAGTGCATTCAGTGTCCACCCTGTGCCATCTTTGTGTTTCCAATCTTGCAACCCTTGCCTTGTAACTTGTAGCAACCTCCTCTTCAGCTGGGTCAAGGATCATGGAAAGCTCATTATTAAATTTATTGTGGTGTGGCAGGGGTTATTTGGAGTAAAACAGAAGTGATCTAGTGTTATCAGCATTCTTTTCCTGTTTTCTGTTCTGTGATCTCTCCTTATTTTACAGTATATTGAATGCAGGCTTGAACTAGCAAAATGTGTTTATTGGTAATTGTTTTGTCTATTTCAGATGACAAAAAATGAAATGGAAGCAGGAAGTAATCGTCTGGAGTCAGATGGTGCCTCTGGAGGCACAGCATCACAGCATGAGTCTACTTTCTGTAACGAGGTATGAAACTGCTTATTTTCTTATATTTTTACATGGTAAACGTCAGGTCCCCACGATGTACACTGTAATCTCATCTACCTTTGTTGGCAAAAGATTTTCAATTGACTAGTGGGGCCCTTCTCCCTGTCTTTAAAAGTGAAGGTTTTACACAAAGTCCTCACAAGACATCTACCCTAAAATATTATCATTTTAATCTAGAAATATTTTTTGGTTGGTGTGTTTAGCCTAAAAATACTTTCTACAACTTGACAGCGTTCAGCTTAGTTGTAGTATGTCAGCATTGCTTTTACTTTTGGGCTTATTGGTAATTGTTTTGTCTATTTCAGATGACAAAAAATGGAACGGAAGCAGCCAGTAATCGTCTGGAGTCAGATGGTACCTCTGGAGACGATCACCATCACACCCAGCATTCACAGCATGAGTCTACTTTCTGTAACGAGGTATGAAACTGCTAATTTTCTTATATTTTTTGCATGGTAAACGTCAAGTCCCCACAATGTACACTGTAATCTACCACGGTTGGCAAAAGATTTTCAATTGACTAGCGGTGCCCTTCCCCCACTGAGTCCCCACACTGTCTTTAAAAGTGAAGGTTTTACACAAAGTCCTCACAAGGCATCTACTTTAAAATATTATCATTTAATCTAGAAATATTTTTTGGTTGTGTGTTTAGCCTAAAAATACTTTCTACAACTTGACAGCGTTCAGCTTAGTTGTAGTATGTCAGCATTGCTTTACTTTGGGCTTATTGGTAATTGTTTGTCTATTTCAGATGACAAAAAATGGAACGGAAGCAGCCAGTAATCGTATGGAGTCAGATGGTACCTTGGAGACGATCACCATCACACCCAGCATTCACAGCATGAGTCTACTTTCTGTAACGAGGTATGAAACTGCTAATTTATCTTATATTTTGTATGGTAAACGTCAAGTCCCCACAATGTACACTGTAATCTACCACGGTTGGCAAAAGATTTTCAATTGACTAGCGGTGCCCTTCCCCCACTGAGTCCCACAATGTCTTAAAAGTGAAGGTTTTACACAAAGTCCTCACAAGGCATCTACTTTAAAATATTATCATTTAATCTAGAAATATTTTTTGTGGTTGGTGTGTTTAGCCTAAAAATACTTTCTACAACTTGACAGCGTTCAGCTTAGTTGTAGTATGTCAGCATGCTTTTACTTTTGGGCTTATGGTAATTGTTTTGTCTATTTCAGATGACAAAAAATGGAACGGAAGCAGCCAGTAATCGTCTGGAGTCAGATGGTACCTCTGGAGATGATCACCATCACACCCAAGCATTCACAGCATGAGTTACTTTCTGTAACGAGGTATGAAACTGCTAATTCTTATATTTTTTGCATGGTAAACGTCAAGTCCCCACAATGTACACTGTAATCTACCACGGTGGCAAAAGATTTTCAATGACTAGACGGTGCCCTTCCCCCACTGAGTCCCCACACTGTCTTTAAAAGTGAAGGTTTTACACAAAGTCCTCACAAGGCATCTACTTTAAAATATTATCATTTTAATCTAGAAATATTTTTTTGGTTGGTGTGTTTAGCCTAAAAATACTTTCTACAACTTGACAGCGTTCAGCTTAGTTGTAGTATGTCAGCATTGCTTTTACTTTTGGGCTTATTGGTAATTGTTTTGTCTATTTCAGATGACAAAAAATGGAACGGAAGCAGCCAGTAATCGTCTGGAGTCAGATGGTACCTCTGGAGACGATCACCATCACACCCAGCATCACAGCATGAGTCTACTTTCTGTACGAGGTATGAAACTGCTAATTTTCTTATATTTTTTGCATGGTAAACGTAAGTCCCCACAATGTACACTGTAATTTACTAGGTTGGCAAAAGATTAGAAAGCACTCACTCCTGCAGTCTCAGTGGATTTAAATAATTTTTCTCACCGATCTATATAAAAATGAACACAAATTAAAATTACAAATCTCCTGTGTACCTTGCATTGAAGCCATTTGGTAGAGCCACCTTAACAATTTCAGTTTTCAGTTTTCATAGATCTGTATAATCACCCTAAAGTAGAGGTCACTAATAGGTGGACTGCGGTCCGAGTCCAGACCCAGACGTTGTTCCATACTGACTGGACCCATAAATCTGGATAATTATTTAATTTTATTGGGTGGTCTATTTAATCGGCGTATCATTTCTAGTCATTATGGTACCGTTTTAGCGGCCCAGAAAACTCACAGACCAATCACAGGCGTTGTAAATATCACACATGACGCTACTCAGCCAATCAGATCTGTGCATTACAATGAGCACAGAGACTCGAGGGAGTGAAGCCACACAGGGGAGGGACAAGGCAAGACAAAGCAGTTGGAGAAGAAAGTGAGTCAGAGGGAAATTACTTCACATGGCGTGATCTAAAAAGAGAAAACTGACAATAAAATGTTGAAATATTACTGAATTGTACTTTACTTGATTTGAC